GGAAAAACCTGAGCTAGTGTGTTCATTGTCTTTTTCAAGGTTATCTGAAACCAATTTGCAGTTTTGGATCTTGCTTTGTTTATGGTTCTTCAAACCAACAAATGCAAAGTGCATTAAGCAAGGTCAGCTTGCTTAACAGAGAAGTCTTCAGCATCCTTTTGGAAGTGAGCTTTTAGCCCCAGCTCCAGACTTGACCACTAATGACAAAGAGCATTTCTGATCCTGATGCTGGCTGGGAGAATGCAATGAAGAGCCCAAAGAGAACCACTTCCATCAGGGGTGGACATCCAGGTATAAATCACTGCTCAGCATTCCTCTGCGCAGAATGCATCAACTCCTGTCACTGAGCACGCATTAGGAACCCCCAGCTTCTTCAAGACATAGGAGAACCATGTAGCCACCCTGAGGCTGTTTTTGTTTTGACAGGATACCAGGGACAATGTTATTGTACAGCAAACACTTCTGCTCCCAAAGCCAATAGCTGTCCCTGACAGGTGAAGCACCCTTAGGTGGCCATTCCTGTAGCTACATCTCATACAATATGAAAAACTCCTGGTGTCACACATGCAAACTACTGAATGTGAGAGACTGAAAGATAAAGCAGAAGGCAGTAAGAATGCTCAGCATTAAACATGGAATAAGAAAAAGGGGCTTCTGAAACAAAGGACATCAACGGATAATGGATTAACCAAACCTGCCTCAGAAGCATCTCAATCTGTGAGTATGTGCAGTTTCAGCTGTCAGGTCATTAACTGGATAAACACATAATTGATAAGCTCTAGGCTGTGCTCTACTTGAAAACAATAAGCTCCTTGAAAGTGATATTAATATTTAACATACATAAAAGCATTTGCCATTCGCAAAGCGTTCTATAGAGTAACTGATGGATTCTACAATGATCCCCAGCTAACAGGCTGGGGAATGCAGTTCTCGAGGGATAAATACCTGGCCCACGTCCAGATCAAGATTCAGATAGAGCTAATATTTTAGCTTGAAATTGTATTTCTAAGTTTCTGGTCCTTCTAGATTACACTGCTTTTTAGCCTTCAGTGGAAAGAAGCATGACACAGACAGAGCTGGAAGACAGAAGCTGACAACATGGGATGACATTTCCGACTCACATTCATGGACTGTCACATCCCTAGCCTGGGCCACTGTCCACACTGAAAGATGCATTTAAGTGGGTTAAACACATGGAATAGAAATATTAAATATTTGATTACCATGCATTGTTCACCCCTCTCCCCTTTCTTTTAAGGAAGTAATCTGGGGGAATTTACTGACCAATTTTGTTAGGTCTTCCAGTATACTTTCCCCTCCCTGCTAGTTTAAAGGGATACAGTAATTTCAATTGTAGGTGATCCTTAAAATAGGAAAGCATTTGCTGAAATGTGACAGATCATTTCTCAAGCTGCAGCACCGAGTTTCTGTGAAACAGCCACAGAATTTTGTTATTACCCAAAATTACTGTAGGAGAACTTCACCTTCAGCCTCCTACATGATTTGCTGAGACGTCTCCTGAGACAGACCTTCAGTCTCCCTGCCCTACTAACTCCCTTTGCATATACTTTTTCTCCCTGGCAGCAAAAGCACAGTGAAAGCCACATCGTTTCTCTTGGCTGGACACAGCATCCTTTTGCTATAGCTGAACTTTATGCATATGGAAAGTGGTCTCCCCTGGGGATCTACCAAGTGCTCCCATGGGCCAGAATGGGCTGTGCCAGAGAGGTACCTACAGTTACATCCTCAGTATACACAATATACTGATAATACCACCTAGGAAGGGATGCAAAGTCTGGATCACCCATTTAATGCATGCACCATGCCAGCTGCACTTGATCCCTGCAATATTAGTGCATCCTAACTAACTTGTTTCAATGAACCCAGTGGTGTGCCCATCATCATAGCCTTACAGCTTTGTCAGTTGAGGATTCATCCTTTTAAGAGCTCTATTCTCATCAGTATTACATTCCGCCAAGAAGTCTGACCATCTTAGAAGCAGATGAAGTGATTATTGATGACAGTCAATACAAGTTCAAAATATTTCAGGAGTAAAGTAGAAAAAATGCATACAAAATTTATACTGGACATTATTCAAGAGCTATTAAATATGCGCAAAGTAGAGAAATGTGACAAGCAATAAAACATGATGGCTTCTATATGCAAGCATTTTGACACTTCAACTCCAACAGAGTCCAAGTTTAGTGAAAAAGCAGAACTTCCTAAAAGAAAGTATTATTCATAACTTTTTTTTTTCAGAAGTGGAAGTCTAATATAACAAAAAAAAATTCCTGCTTATGCTTATATTTTCATAAAGCTCAGCCTGCTAGACAAGATTTCCATAGAAATCCTATTTGGTAAAATTTGCTTGATTGTATTCCAGAAAGTGACTCACATTTTACAGCCAAGTGGCTAAAGCTGAAACGAGTTTGACTCTTTACATCAAAGCCAGTATTAGTCAATTTTCCAGTTTAATGGTTTGCACGCCAATCTTAACAGACAAAACTGGGACTACAGGTCAAGCAATTATAATCACAGAATGGTTTGGTTTGGAAGGGAGCTTAAAGATCATCTAGTTCCAAGCCCCCTGCCATGTGAGAGACACCTTTCACTAGACCAGGTTACTCAAAGTCCCATCCCACCTGGCCTTGAACACTTCCAGGGATGGGATATCCACAGCTTCCCTGGGCAACCTACGCCTGTGTCTCACCAACCTCACACTAAAGAATTTTTTCTTAATATCTCATCTAAATCTATCCCCTTTCATTTTAAAACCATTACTCCTTGTCCTATCACTACATGCCCATGTAAGAAGCCTGTCTCAGGCATGTTAAGGTTCCTTGTGATAGCATCCCTTCCCTCCAGCATGTCAAGTGCCTCACACAGCTTGGTGTCTTTGGCAAACTTGCTGCAGGCGCACTCAATCCCATTGTCCATGTTGCCAACAAAGATGCTAAACAGTGCTATTCCCAATACCAACCTCTGAGTAATGCCACTCCTCACTGGTCTCTACTTGGAACCTGAGCCATTGACCACAACTCTTTGAGTGTGACTATACAGCCAATTACTTATCCACTGAGTAGTCCATCCATCTTGGATGTCTCCCCACTTTAGTGACCAGGTTGTCATGCAGGACAGTGTCAAATGCCTTGTACAAGTCCAGGTAGATGGCATCAGTCACTCTTCCCTTATCCACCAAATGCCATGGCCCCATCATAGAAGGCTACCAAATTTGTCAGGCATGATTTGCCCTTAGTAAAGCCATGTTGGCTGTCACTAATCACCTTCTTATTGTCCATGTGCCTTAGCATAGTTTCCAGGACGATCTGCTCCTTGACCTTACCGGGCACAGAGGTGAGACTGACTGGCCTGAAGTTCCCTTGGTCTTCCTTTTTCCCCTTTTTGAAAACTTGGTTTCTGTTTCCCCCTTTCTAGTCACTGGGAACTTCACTGGACTGCCACAACTTCCCAAATATAACGGATAGTGACTTAGCCACTTCATCCACCAGTTCTCTCAGAACCCATGGATGCATCTCATCAGGTCCCAGGGACTTGTGCACCTTCAGGTTCCTTAGATGACCTCAAACCTGATCTTCTCCAACAGCAAGCAATTCTTCATTCTCTCAGACCCTGCCTTTGCTTCCTGCAATGATTTAATAGTCACAAACTATGTGGTGAGGTAGCTGTTGCTAGATTGAAGGAAACAACACAAGACCTGGCCAGTGAAATTAAAAGATAGTCAACAGCATAGCTGCTAAGTTGCTGTAAGAGCAGTGAAATCACAGCTCCTGTCTGAAGCTAACTCCTAGCACAGCAAAATTTGGCCCAGACTGTAAAGCTGCAGTTAAATAAAAATCATAAAGTTCTTCCATACCTGCCACTCTCCAAGCACTTAAAAAGAGAACAGTTGGAGGACAAAAGGGCTGAGTGCTATCTGATTTTAAAGATGTTATGATTTGGCTCCCAGTCAGGAACTCCTTTCTTCCACCCTCTCTCCTTCTTCATGTTCCTGCAGATTCTCCATTCAAGCCTGTATCTCTACTTTTACACTTGCCCATTCTCCCCAGGTGGCTTTTCTTTGCAGTGCCCTATGGTTATCCAAAAGAAGGCTGGCTTTGCCGAGCCCTCCAACACACATCCTTCCCTTCCTGGCTGCTGCTGGGCCAGGGCTCAGCCTTGCCTTGTGTGCATGGCTCAGGGCAGGCTGGTCCACTGTCCAAAGACCATTTTGGTGCCAACAGCCGAACAGAGAAATGGGTCCACTCTGAGATGAGTCCACTCTCATGCTGAATTTGCTCACTTTCTGCTTCTCTGTGACCTTGTGGGGTTGCAGTCAAGGCATCCTCTTAGCATGGGTCTGCCTGTAGGCATAGACTGGCTCCTAAGTGAGAGTGTAGCAAAGACCATCCCTCCCAAAATAAGGCTCCTGGCAGAGTCCCAGCAGGGAAGGTGAGTTTCCTTATAGAAAACCACCAGCACCTTTCTGCTAGTAATGTTTAGACACAATTAGGATTCACAGACATCGTGGATGAGGACATAAAACTCCCTATGTTCACTGCTGTTTGTTCCTGACATCTCCCCTGTCTTCCCTGGGTATCTCTCATGCCCCCACTAATCTCATGATAGTCAGATTAGTTTGGACAGTGACTCAATGTGAGTCTCAACTCAGCAGAAAGCAAGGAAAAGAGAAGACTGATGGGATCAAAATCCTTTGTTTATAGGCTTTGCTGCCCATAATTCATTTTCTGCATTCTGTTGTGGCATGTGCTGACACAAAATTAATCTAAAGTCTCTGGCATTTCCAGGGACTGCTCATGATCCCTCACCCAGCTCAAATCCATGCAATGTCTTCAACCTCCAGAGAAGAGAACTGAAGCATCTCCATGCTTGGCACTGGCAAAATATCACACCATTCACTCTTTTCCTTTAATTAGGAATCTAATTTCAACTATTTTCCTCCAGACAGGATGAAAAAAAACCAAAGACAAAAAGCAATTTACCTCTACTTCACATGCGTATTCTGATCCGTCCAGGAGTGTCACTTTGCATTGCATATTTTTCGGTTTCTTGACAATCTTTAGAGGAGACTTGGAAAGTTTGCTCGATGATGATCTCTGTGAAAGCTTGTCGTCCTCTAGCTGCTGGTATTCCAGCTGTTTTGCACTTGCAGCAGCAAACTCCTGTTCTTTGTCTGTGTCCTAAGAGAGAAAGAAGGATACTTTTTCAAGTGATATAAACCAATCATGCTGTGCAGTACACTGTGCATCCAGAACCAAATTGTTTAAGTGAGCCTAGTGTGGGGCTTGGATGAGAAAGCCCCTGATGCAGGATGGAGTCTCCTTTCTGTATTGAAAAGACTTCTTATATTCCTCCCAACCCTCCTTTCGCACTCCAAATAGTAGAGAACAACCATGAAGGATGGGCATGTACAAAAATACTTTAGGCTTCTACTTTGTCCGTAGGCACAAAATCCCACTTGGACTTCCTGGACCTGTTTGTTTGCTCTGCTGGAAATGCTGAATAATTAGTAAATGTCATGAATAGATATTGCTACGGTTTCTTGATATTACTTTTAAGTCCTGTACCTATGAAATCATCTGATGCTTCCATAGTGTCATACGGAACAGGAAAAGACCATCAGGTTTGCACTGATTTTGCTGTCAGTGAAAGAACAGTACTCTGAATGAGGGCATGGATCCCTGTGACAGTGTGAATTCACAGGGGGATGCTGACATGCCTGGGAGAGTAAAAGGCCCCATGAGCAAAGGGTTAAACAAACAGGATGGAAGTGAGGGACCAAACAACTTTCATGTGCAGCCAGCTGGCTAATGGATGACAAGTACAGGGTCAGAGGCTGAATTTTGCTCTCTGCAGATGCCTGGTAAGTCCCTCAAGCTGGCAAGAAGTAGGTGCTATTTGAAAGACAAATACACTGCGGTGAAAAGGGGCAAGAAGAAACAACTGTGCTTAGTTTTGCTTGGGTTTATCTGAGGGTCAGACCATTTGGAGAGTTACCGCGATGCAGCACAGCCCGTAGTCCTCGCCACAGCACTAGATGAAAGCCAGAACAGCTCTACAGCATTTAGCCTTCCCTAGCAACAGCTCTATGCTGCAGTCATTACCCTTCTTATCAGTTATGCCCCTGATAGTCTCCAAACAAAACCTCAATGGGAGTGAAATAATACCAAAGCTAAACCTTAATAAAATAAAATAAAAATAACATATTTCCATTATCTCACTACAAGGAAAGAAAACCCAAACATGTTTGGCTCTGAATGATGACAGCGTAACAAGCAACACGCATTGCTGGAAATATAATGTAAATTAATCCTCCAAGTCTGTTTCCATTCACTGTATATAATAAACCTTCATGAGAATGGAGCAAATCCATCCAAATGCTTTAATCTGCTTTGAGAGCAGAACAACCTTGCATCATATAACCAGCAACAACAGTGTACTGCTAAATCACAGGGAACTTTCCCCCTAGAGATTTCATACAAACAAGCCACAAGCTTCACCTCTGCCTTTGGGTGAATGGCAGAAAAAGGAATTTGGAGTCAGCTGTGCTACCAACAGCGCCAGCTCCCACCAAAGGCCCAACAAACCACAAAGAGGTAAATGCAAGGAGGCGGGGAGAACCCCATAGTCCTCCTTTCCCTGCAAGAGAAGACACACGACCATGTTCTTTTGGGATTCCCTGGGTGGGGAGACTAAAAGAAAGTGGGTCTAGAAAGATAAAATAGTAAGAGCTGCTTCAAAAATCCACCTTGTTCCCTGAGCCGCTGAAGTTTTTCCCCTGGAGCAGCCCCATGCCAGCCAGCTCTTTCCCATCCAGCTTCAGCACTTGGACACCAGCTCTGTGTCTGGACATCAAGGTTCTCTTATACCTTGAAGACTGGTGGGAGATGAAGGCAGAATGTGTATCAGTGGATTAGCTGTTTGCTGAGCATTAAACACTCACAGTTGCTGTGAGGAATGGGAAGAGCTCCTCCATGCTTACAGCAAGACTGGAAGCCAGTTACCCCTCTACCAAAACCATGGCCAGCTGGCAGTGGTCCAACCTACTACACCAAGAACAAGACTGAAGATGTCTCCTTTTAGGGCCTCTGTGAAGAGCTGTGCTGCTGATGTTGGGCAGAGGGGCTCTTTGATAATTTCCATACGTTTTGTTAAAGAAATCTGCCAGGGAAGGTGCACACACGCATCTGTGAGTGTAAAAGTCATTCCAGGGCTGGAAAAAATACACTGTCGTACGTGGTGGCTCATTAGATTTCTGTGAGAGTTAGCACCCCTCTCCAACAGAACGACAACAAAAACCCCAAGATACATGGAATTAATCTTTTCCAAGAAAACAGAAAAGCTGCTTGACAGAAAAGCCCACAACAAGGGAACAGAACAGCCATTTAAATTTTAAAATCATCTTCTGCCTGCAAGCATTTCGAAAATCCTAATGGATTGGTAACTATGTATCTTCACTAAGACATTTGGTATCTCAAGACTATAGCAGATATTTTCTTATTTATAAATATTTAAAAAAATAGTATTGAGGTTATTTCATTTGTTAAGGTTCCCATCTACATGAAGATCAGGGGAATATGTCTATGTTAAAATCATACAAAGGATTTTCTCTCATTTGTCTGGAGAACAAAACATGCCAAGAACTATTACAGAAGATCCCCCAAACTATGCTGACATGTTCAGGCACTGAGGTACTTTCAGAGAGTATTAAGTATCTTCTTCCTAAAGAAACCTGACATCCTGGTATCTAGGAAGGGGGGGGTGGGGAAAGTGGCCAGTGAAAACCCATGTAGTCAGTGAATTACTCTGAACTCTGGAAGCACAGTTGCATTTTCTCCTAAATTCCTCTCCAGGATACTTCTGTGTTTTATTTCTGCAGTATTTTCAGTGTTGTGGATTAAATTCTAGTGCAGCACGAGTTGCTTCAGGATTTGTGTTTTTTCCAGCATAAGATCTCTCATTTTTATCTACATTACTGCACCTTACTCTTAACACAGTGTGTCCAATCCTTTCTGAAGCTGGACCCCTCTCTCGAAAAAAGCCTTTGGAGTCACAGGCTGCAGCAGTAATCATCTTTGATGCTTCATAGCTTCTCACTATGGTATGAAGTTACCAAGCTTGCACAACACATGAATCCCATCTACTGATCGCAGTTGCTCAGGAACATGAGTGCTCAATGCCCACAATACCTTCTTGCTCTTTCTTAACAAGACAGGAAGGCAGGAAGATAGTAAGATTGCATTACTGTACCTCATAGGAAGGACTCATTTCTCTAGTAACTGGTAATCTCAACATTAAGAAGTCTTCACTAAAATGTTCTTTTTTATGTATATAGAATGACAAAAAGTCACTGTCATGGATTGGTAACTTAAATCTTTTCTTCCCAAGGTTCTCTCATTGGCTTTTTTAATGACACCATTGCCAATAGCTCTGTCTCTTAGTACTGTGTTTAAGTAGTTCTTTCCTGTGATAGAGGCACTTAAGCTACTATAAAATATATTGGGCAGATCACTGTAGCTGATTTGGCAGTCATTTTACAATATGGACTTTTGGATTCAATCTGGTGATCTCAGTGGGAAGGTCTCACATATCCCTTCACAAACCCAGTTCTTCTGTCAAGGCTTCTACAGACACTGGCTCAGAGGTGGTCTTCTTTGAGAAAGGAAGGGATCACTCAGCAAATGAGAGTGTCTCAGGTCTCCAAACTCACACCTACATGAACACAGATAGACCAGTTTGGTGCCTAAGGGGGTTTTGGTTTTTGGTTTTTTTTGGGGGTGGTTATTCTGGGTTTTGGTTCGGTTTGTTGTTTTATGTTCTGTTTTTTTTCTTTTTACTGGGGACAGAAAGATTACTGAAGATGTCCAGAAGAACAGAATTAATACTACTTATGCCTAGGCTTGATAGAATTATGCTTTAAATTAATACCAGTTTGTGCAGTACCTTTCTCTTCTGGACAAGCATCCCTGCCTCTTTTCCCCAAAGTAACTACATGCAATTTCTCATCTCTTTCAGAGACCAAAATTCTCCCAACATATAATTGGTGGGTGTGAGAGCAAGAGCAGAGGTGTCTTTGGTGGGCATGGAGTGAGGGTGATCGAGGGTTATATCAATGGTAAAAACGGTTGGCAATCAAAAAAATAAGCATTTCTTCCAATAGCTGATCTCCAATAGCAATAAACGCCAGAAATCCTGCTCTGCCATGTCTGCATCTTAAGGTATGAGAAGTCAGACATAAGACATCTCTTTTAATTTGGTCCTAGGAACATTTGTTGTCCCAAGAGTTGATGTAATGCACCCCAAAATGAGTGAGATACAGAAACACTTTGCATCTCAAATTGCTGACACCCCCATTTTTTCCCCACCAACAGCAAGTTCGGGCTGTAGCTCTGTTTAAAACCGAAGACCACAGCCAGCCCAAACAGCCTCTACAGGAGCAGTCACACTGTTTTTAAGTAACACCTTGCTTAATTATCTGCTTGCTTCACCAGCACTGTCTCACACTTAGGTAAAATAACAGGACCTCACTTTTCAAAGGGTGGAGGGGAGGAGGAGTTAGACTGACTTATTCCCCTCTTCAAAAGTAAATGCAATAAAGTGCAGGTCATAACCTTACAGAGCTAAAAGATGTGATTGGCAGGTACCTCATTAATTGTGTGTCACTTATCCATGAAGAACAATGCCTGTTAATCCTATTGACTGGAAATTATTAACAGAGAAAAAGAAAGCAGCTTCCGCAAATTTAATAAGTGCAACAATGAACCAAATGGAAAAGCATGTGATAGCTCTTCTGAAACCTATTACATGAATAGCTAAAGTAATTATAATGCAGTCATTTCAGAACTATGAGAAGCTTAAGGGTCCACAGGTTCTTCATGGCTCACACATCAGACAAGCAAGCATGAAATCAGTTTTCAGCAGGTGTCAAAGAAATAAACTCTTAAAACATCTTCAGCTTCTTAAAAACTGGCAATTTTTGCTATTTAATGCAAACAGGAAATTGCAGATGTTTCCTGCTTATTTAGTAAGACTGCCCTTATATTTAAGCACCGGAAACAGAAAGACCTAACATGAATTTCCAAACATTCTGCATCAGAACTATTATTTTTTAAAAGAAAAGACCAACCAGTCATGATCTTCAGCATCACACCAAACAGCCTTCCATGCATACCTGAATATGTATTTCCACTCCAAGCACACCAGGCTTATTTTATCCCAGGAGCCGTAAGTGGGCAGGTAGCTAGTTGGGTGCACCAAGCATGCATGCAGAGGCTCCCTTACCTGCTCCTTTTTCACTGGTGTGCTGTGGGCTGCCACAGCCGAGAACTGCTCGAGCACGTTATGATGCTCTTCGCTCAGCTGCTGCTGGTCCTGTGGCTGGGTCTCTGCTGCCCCTTGCTGTGCAGTGCTCTCCTGCTGATCCTGCTCCTTATCCTTGGACTCGGAGTCCGATCCTGATTCCGTGGTCATGGTTGGTTATTCTGTAAAACAAGGTGAGTGCACCTACTGAGTACAATCTCATAGCTGTGAATTTGGAAGCTAGGCTTACAAAATGGAGAAACATCAGGCACAAGTTTTAGTCTCATATGCTCAGCTTTTAAAACTAATGTGGCCCAGCAAGGTTCCCTAGAAAACCTTCCCTGGTACAAAAGACCAGGTCTAAATGCATACTCTAAGGAAGAGTGCATTGCCATAAAAACTTATTCTACATTATGGTGCCAGGAGGATGGTGCCAGACTCTTCTCAGTGGTGCACAGTGACAGGATGAGGAGCAATGGCCATAAAGGACAGTAACATACTGAGAAAAGCTCTTGTGACTGAGGGCCCTAAGTCCAACACAATTCATTACAGTTTGGGTTTCTGAACCATGCAGAAACTTGCAAAAACACTAAATCTTTTGTTCTTTACATTAAAGTCAACAGGCCTTGAACTCCTCAGCACCTGCATGCCCTTGCAGAAATGGAGTCAAGTACTTTTGATGCTTTCAGGCAACATTTATGCTAGAAACATCTGAAGTGGGCCTGCCAACATCAGTGCAAATGTACAACTGTCCTCAAGCCCACTTCCACCCTTCCCACTCAAATTCGTCAACTCTTCTGTCATTTCTTTCTAAGTGCTAGAGCATCTAGAAGAAAAGATAAATACTTCCATTATGTCGTATTACATGTTAGATTTAAAGTGAATTTGACTTTCCTTGAGTGTGAAAAGTCTAGGTTTGAATTTAACTTTGTCCAGTACTAAATGAAAATGAAAATATTACAGTATTCATTCAAAATCTTAACTATTTCGATTGAACATTTTAATTACAAATATGTGTCTGGCACCCAATTCTCAAACTACATACAAGCTAAACCCAACTTTAAAAAAACATACTGTGATTTTGTACCAAAACAAGGATTTGAAAAAGCAGACTCTGTGCCAGTTGAGCAGAGTGTGCTTTTACGTTTGTTACTCATACATTCTTAGTCCTTGTGATCTTATCCTTGAGCATTTTGCTTTTAAGCAACATGAAAACAAACCAGTCTGCTGTAATCATCAGGCTATGATTTCTTTAACCTGGTAACCATAGCTACTATGTAAATATAAGCAATTCCTCAGAATATACATCTGCTAATTCATCTGCTAGGAAGTCACTATCAAATCTTAACGTACACTATAATGTTTACTAGTAGAAGCATGTTTATTAAGAATCACAAAAAGAAAGTACAGGCTTTTATTGTTTCATTTACTTAAATGCTTAATAAGCTACACTGCTTGACAGAAATGTTTTAAATTAGGCCAATTACTATTTTCAAATTCATTTATGTATTCTGCACTTTCAAGGCTAAGCTCTACAGTGAGTATGTGTGTCTCTGCATCAAGTAAGTGCACAGCATTCAGTCTGCGCTCAGTTTTTGCACTGTGAGTGAAGCCGGGAGTGCGTGTTCCTACCTTCTGCATGCCAAAACAGCACGAGAAAGAAGCAGAACTAGAAAGCATATATGGCAGATTTATGCTTCAGGCCATATTTTCAAAGTACTAATGTGTGACACACTTGTTTAGGAACACATCATAAATTTCTACACTCAAACTGGCACAGTTATATAAAAAAACCATATTAAAATGTATTGTTCAATAAACTGCCTTTACCATCTACAGAAAGCAGTAATTAACTCATCTCTTTTAAAATATGACACTCAGAAAGGCATTCACTTAATCAAACTTCAGGTGTCCACATCTGAGATGGTCACTTTAAACACAGAGGAGAAAGCCAGACATTTCAGAGCACTGACCTATTTTAGATGCCTGCATTAAGCTGAGATAAATCACATACTAGCATGACGTCATCCAGCTCACTACAAAGGAAGCCTAAACAAATTCCCCCAATATAGATCAAACCCATCCTCCATTTTTAATTCTATTAAGCCACTATTTTTTTCTTATGCTTTAAAAATTAAATTGTAGAACAATGTTAATCTCTCAGAGTTTTGTTTTGCCCATCTGTGAGATGAACATGGAATAAACTATTTTCCAGCTGATTATGGGTACACTGCTTTAAAAGCACCCAGGTCTCCACAAACTCCCTCCCCAAACCATGGTTTGTACAGGTGTATGAATATATGAAATGCAAATTAACCAACTAAATAAGTGAACGAAATCAAACTATGTATTTGATTTTCTTTTCCATAAACTATGAATTAGAAAGCAACAAAAAACTACCTTCCAGCTAGAAAAAACATTCACCAAACACCACCAAACAGCACAGATCACCAACACAAAGTATAATGCTTGGAAGTTGTAGTACAAAGTCTTTTTTTCCCCTCCCTCTTGATATGAGCTAGGGCAGTGTAAATAGAAAGCAACTATCATTTTTTGCTGTTTGGAAACAGTCAGCCCAAGTATCTCACGGCATTAATCTGTACAGGATCAGATTGATAGTCAATACGAACCAAAAGTCTGTCTTCCTTCAGCTGTCATCAATGTGTTTCTGGAAGCTCATTTTTGCACCTTATGTAGCTTCCTTCCTAATGAACATTTGTATCCTGGCTGTTCACGAGCATGGAAACACAGCCATTTAAATTAGCTTCATAGACACAACTTCATGTAGCAAGAGATTAAATCAAGCTTTACTTTTTTTGCCAGCTATAATTTTGTATCTCAAGGAAAAACAAATGTGGTTTTTAACTTCTTCTGGGACATTCCCACATGGAGTAGTGCCTCACAACACTGTGAGTAATTCTCTGGGGCTGGTTTTCTCTCCAGTTACATGAGTCCTCACTTGCTCTAAGAGTGCTTTGCTAGAAAACTTTTTGTGCGTTATCAAACCTTTTAGCATAAGTAATTCCCTGGATACAATATTCCTGTCATCAGACAGCAGATGGATTTAATTAACCCAAGGTTATCCATCTCCAAATGTCTTTGTTATTTCCCTACGCATACTAATATGTTTAATAACAAATGCTGAGAACAAAATACTATTGATTTCACATTGTTATCTTACAAATGTAAATAGAAGCAAAACACACACATTCTGAATCCAATTTCTTACAAACTCTTCAGATAATTGTATTGTTACAATTTATCTCATTCCATCTAGTGCAGGTTGAAAATACCTACACTGCAAGACAGAAAACAGAATTCCTCTCTCAGTGCGAAATAATTGGTTGTTTTGCCTTCCTCAGCAAAAGGCTGCTTTCTCCAAATGCACTTTGAAAGCATTTCATTTCTTATAAATGGCATAACAATCCTCCTAAGAACAGAGGATTTCACTTATTGCAAGAAATAACAATGATCTTAACAACATAAATATTACTCTACCTTTGTCACAGCAAACCTGACAGAATAGCTAACAGTGTCTACAGATTTGTCAAACATAATTGGCTGAGAATTTGTTTATTTACTATACCTGGATGCGTACCAAAATTATGACTTCTAATGCGAATTTCAGTACAGGAAGAAAGAAATCACTGAAGTTCCTTAAACTTTTTCTGTTGCCAGCACAACCCCTGTATCAAATTCCCCTTTTCAGCAAACAGAAAACAAACTAATGAAAACACACGATGAGCACTACCTTATACAAATGAGGTAATACTGTGCAAGCCAGATGTGCTCTTGGATAGCTAAGTTTTGGCTTACAACCCAATATTCAAGGATTCCGAAAGACTAGCTGTGTCCAAACTTAACACAGATGCTGCTAACACTGGACAGTTGAAGTCTAAAGTCAATTTGGCTACAGAATTTAAACAGAATGAAAATCAAGTCTTCTGATATAAAAAAAGAAAAAAAGAAAAAAGAAAAAAAGAAAGAAAAACCAAAACAAAGCCCCCCCAAAAAAACCCCAAAACCAAGAACTAGCTTATTTCAGTTTACTACTTAAAAATTAAGTTCAAAACATGTACTTCCAGCAGCGTGAAGGTTTAAAATATAAGTGACTGCTGTAGAAGAATGATTAAGGGAAGATAAACATTCATATACTATCAAGGTATTAAAACACAACTTCAAAAGACTACATGACATTTTTTAGAATATTTTTTATTAGACCAAATCACGGAAAATAAATGTTTTCATACCCTTAGACTATACGAAGTAAAGACAATACACAGGGATTGCAAAACCTGCAAACCACTTGCACAAAAAGCCTGCATCTTAAAACCTTCCAACACACCTAGTCCTCGTTACCTATAGTTACCAACATACTGCAGCTTGGGAGATTACCATTTCCATTACCAATTACTTGCTATGGACTTAAACCATAGAATCATAGAATCAACTAGGTTGGAAAAGACCTTATCATCAAGTCCAACCCATTACCCCAGGACCGCCAAGACCCCCATTAAAACATGTCACTAAGGGCCTCATTTACGTGGTTTTTGATTCCATCACTACCCTGGGAAGCCTGTTCCAACACCTGAACACCCTCTCTGTGAAGGAAATTTTCTTCATGTTCAATCTAAACCTCCCCTGGCACAGCTTGAGGCTGTTACCTCTTGTCCTGTCACTTGTTAGTTGGGAAAAGAGATTGACCCCCACCTCACTACGACCTCCTTTCAGGTAGTTGTAGAGAGTGGTAAGGTCCCCCCGAGCCTTCTCTTCTCCTGACTAAACATCTACTGACCATCAAAATTCACAGATAATTGACAGCAGAGTCCATAATTTATTTAACCCAGCAGTCATAAATAAACCTTTATTTATATATAAATACGTGTTTGTGAACATATCTGCTATATTAAGCAAACGGAAATCACATTACAAAAGAAACTGCAAATTAATTCCAAATAAATTGGGATGCAATGACAAACCAAAATTGAACCAAGTATAATTAAATGTACTATACTTAGCTACTAACTATTTCCTGTAATGCACAGATTAATGATTTGCATTTAAATGCTTCTTTGAACTAATTAATTCTCTTTGTGGAAAGTTCTCCTTTAACTACAATACTTTCTGAAGATTGTTCTGAATCATTTCAAAAGTCCAAATTTGGAAGTTAT